GCGTAGAAAATTGCATGCAAGTATGAACATAGCCCCCAACAGAAGTGAGAATAGGTTCAAATAGACAATTGAATATCCCTATCTTATGTCGTGAGGGCTTGGGCGCAAAATTTTGGAGTTAAATTTGGGATAATTTTCAACTGTACAAAAAAGGTATGAAACACGATCAAAGCATGGCAGCTAAAATTAATGAACATTCGATACACTATGCATAAGGTCAAAATTCAGCAATTTAAAAATTTATATGATGTTGAACTGTATTGAACACAACGACAAAAAAGCCTAAACTAGCTTGTACTATCCATTAGAAATCCAAACCATGCAATTTTGTACAAATTCACTAACAACCTAAAAATGCAATAAGTATAAGCCTAAACTACTCTTTGAAAATTAAAAAAAACCCGCAATTTTGTACAAATTCACTAAGTATACTAATAATAAAACCAAAACCTATCTCGCAGCTTTAGCTAAATAAGTACTAACAAAATTTAGCTCGAATAAAAGTATGCGTTCTCTTGTAAACAAAGTACCTGTTCTTGAGAAACCACAAATAAGAAAAATAGAAATGAAAAATTGCTTTTATTCCTTGAGTCACTCATACACTTGTGGTCTTGTGCAAACTAACAAGCTATCAAGTATGTGAAGTATATTTTCGAGTCAAGAAGTATATGACGGGAAACATAATTCAGTAGAAAACAGCCAAAAGCGCGCATGATCTATTGTCTAGTGGTGTAAGTGGTCACGGTCAGGTGGTATCGTATAAAATCTTCCATCGTATTATATTTTGCATGTGTTTATGCATGGACAACAATGCAAAATCTATATTGTGTTGTTTCTTGCCGCCTTTCAAAGTCAGTTGAGACGACTAAAGACGACATTTTGTTTGAGGAATTAAATACGGGCATCGAGGAGCATTCTGCCTCCGAAATTTTAGGAAAAATTGCTTTATTAAATCACAATGAAGGTGATATTGTTCAACATCCAGCGGCGTCAAGTCAAAACAAACTGAAAGATTGTATCGACTTAAATGGTACGAGATGGTTAATAAAATTTAGTATCATTGCAAAAATCTATCATCGGTTACTAGCGAAAAGCTGACAAGCAAGCCCATTGAAAATAACTGCACTGTCTCACAAATTTCTACCAACGTCGACCCAAACAAGATGAAGGATACCGGTTACTTATGCGGAAGGTTTTGTCAACAACATCACGACAAAGAAGACTTTCAAGCTAAAATTTTGTTGCTTTTTGTTAAAGGTAGCGTATCTATATCTATGTAATCTGAAAATAAAGTTGTTTAGTTGCATTTGAATGAAGCAAATGCTGATGTTCAATGTGCGATAGGCTTTGGTAAAGTTGGCAAAGATGCTTGCATAGACTGCGGTCAAGCATATGTTGTAGTTGCTTCTCACTGCAGCTTTTTGTCGTGTCAAAATACATGATACTTTTCCTTTTAATTTTATCTAAAATATTTGTCTGAATCATTTAATACATGGGAACATGCATGCTTCACTGAATTGGACTTTGTGTTTCATAAAATAACTCGATGTTTGTAATAGTTCAATTTCAAAGACTCGTGAAATAAAACAATTTCATTTTGTATGACAGTAATCTACCTTCAGTTATAATCAGGGCAAATAGCGATTTTTCTTGTATTGCCTGATTGCTATTGATTTGTATCTACAGCAGCCTTCTAAACAGGATGTTTCAAACTTTGATAACTTTTGCCATGGTTTTGAAACTACCATTTGGCACATGACACTTTAGTTGTACCAAGCATATGTAAGATTTATGAAGGAAAGTCATGATGCTATGGAATAGGACGACTGCGTGTTAGCAAAAGCCATCTTAACACAAAATTACATAATTGTTTGCACATTTAACATCAGCATTTGCTTGTTTCAAATGCACATAAAGAACTTTATTTTCAGATTTAATGAACGTAGAAACACAGTCCACAACGAAAAGCAAATAATTTTTAGCAAGAAACCTTCCACAACGACAAGCGTAATTTCGTCCAATTTCGTGAGACATAGTGCTTTAGCCAATGATAGCTTTTGCAAAGTTATAATTATTACTCGTATAAGTCAAATTATTACAATCTCTTAGTTTGTTCTTTGCCACAAGTTGTTGAACAAAGTCTGTTTTTCGAAATTTTCAGATGCAGAAGACTCCTGAACCTTTGTATTCAAAAGAACTGTCGTCTTAAATCGTGTTTATTGACTTGAAAAGGCAACAAGAAAAGATCAGCGACTTTCGCTTAGGCACGTTTCGAACGTTGTGCTTTTCATGTGCCGAACCTAATTCATATTTGGTACGGCAAAGAACGACGTGGCTCGACGTCGATTTAAACGTCGAACTTAATTTGTCGAATTTTGCGCATGATCACAACGATCAAAATCGCAAAAAAATTTTGCAATATGCAAATTAACCTATCAATCTAGGGTGGCACGACACTATTCTTACGTACGTTTCAATATGCAAATAAGGGAATTAAGACAATTGCTAGACGACTTGCCGTTTTTCACATCATTAAACTTACTATAAATTTAGAGATCGCATGACGCTTTTCGTACGCGTTATTTACCAGATAGTTTGTGAAAATTCATTAAATGTTTCAATATTTTATAGCAGATGAAAAATACCTCAATTTCAATTATTGCATACAAAGTTTCTACGAGGCATAACGGTATATCATATAAGAATACATCAAAACTTTTGCACAACAACTATTAAACAAGAAATTTAAAACATTCTGTTTAACACACCATGTATAACAACAATAAACTAAAATTATTACCACTCGCTTTAGTGAGGATCGATCGTCATTTAAGGTCGGAGATTTACATTCAATTGAAATTTATTTTCAACATGAGTCAAATAAAATAAATAAGCTTTCTTACCTCTCACAGCAACCTCTCTTCTGAAGTACAAATCTCATATACTTCACAAAATAGGTCTGACTCTGACGGATTACAATGAGAAATACTCTACAAGAGTATGAACGATAAGTCTGTCGTGAAAATGGTTTGTGACGTATTCAGCGCGGTAATGAAGCGGGAAATTCGGTTACATTTTTTATGTAAATAAGGCATAAGAGCGCAATAAGAGGCAATAAAAATTTGCTTTTTGACGAATAGAAAATACGACAACGAAAAGTACATTTGTTCTAATTAGTAAATATTTCAATTATCATTATGTTCACGGCGAACTTGTACAAATTATAGATATTTATAGTTCATCAGGAATAAGAACATGACAAACTCTGCTTGTTTTATTCTTTTCTCTGACGCTGCAAAAAACAGCAGCTCATTAAACATACGTCAGTTGTATGATTTCAAATCTTTGATACATCATACAAGTGGGCAAAATGTCCAATGGACTCAAGTGATGTCCTTCTGATAATAGTTACACAGTCAGAGAAAGCAAACATGAGACAAACATTGTGTAAATGGTGTGAACACTTGCTTTGTTATTTTATTTTGTTTTGGAAACACATAACTTTTCTTCAATATGCAAAAGACATTGTTATGATATCACAATGCATAATTAGCTTTAGAAAAATCTAATTTTTGCTTAAAGTTAACATAAATTATTGCCAATGTCACAGGGTCCTAATATTATTGATTTCAATGCATTGGGATGGTGTCTTTGTAATTTTCAAATAAACAACTAATGATTGTATATGTCCGTCTTAATACAGCATGGGGTACTTAGGGAAATGGTAACAGGATGATATGAGGATAGTAGAGGCACCAGGGGGATGTAATTTTAGTGATACAATATACTTTTCATAGAAATATAAACCAAACACTTACAGGTTGTTGTAAAACAAATGTTCCTTTCTTGTTCATAATGACTTCTTCAATGGCTTTGATAGATGTTTCCAAAGCTTTCAAACCTTCTTCTCGATTCATTGTTGTTGTCATGACAACATTGGTTGGTGGTGAAATGGGATTTATCTTAAAGAAGAAAACAGTTTACAATCAAACAGTGAAATTTTCAAAAGATTATTTATCATTGTATGGTATTTAGGCCTGGTGCAGCTGTTGTAAGATATAATTACATTGCTGTGCACATTTGGTACATCTATAAATAATTAAATTTTGTTTTCGTGAACATCAAAATGTTCATCCTCGCTGTGTTTATGTAGCAATATTGCAATTTGATGCATTTCAATGAGAATGATCTGTCATATACAGTGGTGTGAAACAAAGCTTCATGCTGTTCTTGGTTCTTAAGTTTCTTTTCCTTGACAACTCATTTATTGACAGTTGTCTTGCTGTACACAATGTTCAGTAGTATATATAATAATCATTCTACAATTGAAATCTTGACATAAACATATTTAAAAGTTAAAATGACATGATGAATATGAGGTATAGCTCTATTGGTTAAGAACAGTTCATGTACGACGTCAGATGCTGTTAATGTTGATTCATAATGGTTTCAAAAAAGCTTGGCTGACTGATAATTATGCTAATAAACACATAACCCTGGCTGTCACATGTTACAATCGTAAACAAAATCTCAGCAAACTTTTGCCATAAATATAAAGCAGTTTTAAAATTCAAAAGGAGTAAAGATCTTTTTATAAAATCTAACGATGCTCAATGATTACAGTACAATAGAACTTACCTAAATGAAGTCATAATGTTAAACGTCGCTCGATTTTGAAATAGAAATACAAACAATTCGTTATGTTGATGATGGCACAAAATATGTAAAAAGATATAACGCAGATTGCTTAATCAGTTGCATTTTTCATTGAAAACTTTTCAGGAACCTCAAACGATAATACTTTAAATACAGACGAACAAGTTTACAGTTTGAGTTTACAAGACTGACTTTACCGATTCTCGGAAACATCCGGTGGAAACTATCGGTATTCGCCGATTATTATCGATTTCTGTCGTAAAAATGGTTTGTGACGTATTCAGTGACGTAATCAGTTTTCCGGCTATAGGAAAAATTATCGTAACGCGAAACCTAACCATAAGAGAGATGAAAATTTGCACAACGACATCGACATCACGACATCGAAAAGTACATTTGTTCTAATTAGTAAATATTTCAATTATTATTATGTTCACGGCGAACTTGTACAAATTATAGATATTTATAGTTCATCAGGAATTGAAGGAAGATTTAAATCATACAATTCAATAAGAAGTTCCAAATATAAAAGTAAGAGTAAAAATATTAAATATTCAGTCTGACTTTCTGCTCCAGATTCCATTCCTTGATCCTCTGCAACGCTCTCTGGAACGTTTTGTGAACGGGAATTATTTTCATCTTGATGTACTTTCTCCAAGCTCTAGAGATTTTCTTCTTGTCCGTGTTTGATTAAAGTTAGTTCTGAATTTTTTCACCGTTTTTTCGCTATTTTCCTTACTTTGTATAAAATCGAATTTAAATACAGTTGACCAACTTTAAGAACTTAAATCATTCATTCTGCCACAGCTACATGACACACCAGTGCAATGCAACAACCGACATGCCACAATGTTGAACAACAACGTAACAACACGCAGCATGGTGTATTTAGACAACTTTTTGCTTTTTTACGACTATTGTTGTCAGTACATTATAATAGGTGCGTGGGTTGGTCCTTTGAAAAACGCGTCTCGTCGTGGCACGGAATTTTGGAGAGTACCATCAACAAAAAAGATGAAATTGGTATGTGCTGCCGTGCAAAATACCCATAATGCAACAGTCACTTCATCTGATATGCTTCCTCTGCAAGGGGAAGTCCCTTAACATACCCATCATGTAAATGTAGGACAATGCATCGTAAGATCTGTGGACAGAGCGTATTAAGGGAAGAAACAATATAATTGTTTTAGAGGAAAATTACAGAAAACTCTGTCACAAAAAAATCTTCAGTGTAGCCGGCCCTGGGTAAGCAGAAGTCCTACTTGACTAAATTGACTATGCAGTTTTCTTCTGTCGCGCGTAATGTCCGTTTCGTGTTTGTCAAGAAATTATAAATATTGAACTTTGCTTTAGAAATTAGAATACACAAGCCATGAGCCACCAGCTCAATAAAACGTGTTTTCCAGGGAATATAATAACGAGATAATCATTGTCTCCAAAGAATACGTTCTTACAAGTTAGTGTGCTACAAATATGGTTGATATTCACAGACAAGGAAAGTGAACTTCGTCGCTAAAATTTAACATAGTAAAATTTTCTATAGGCAAAAATATCTCATAAGACATTTTACGTACTTTGAAGATCAGCTACATAGCATTCAGCAACCCTTTCTTTACTTAACACTTCACAGTTAATTTTCGCAGTGAGCAGTGGACAAGAGCCTAAAATGCGAAATATTATGGCACGGAAGATTAAAATCATGATTTACAATCAAACGGCCAATTTTACGTCTTGCGGTCAATGTTATAAAATTGCCCGTCATAATTAACTTGTTTAGAGATTAACTATTTAGGAATGAAACAATCTGATGACAGCAATAATCACTTAACAATTATCTCGTTATTAAAAGGTTAAAAGCTGTGAAATAAAACGATTTGAAATGGATAAGTTATTCTGAAACATAGCCTATAGAACAATGACTTTAAAATTCAAAAATTTAAATAAACCTTCCACTCACTGTCTCAAAGAGATGTGAAATTGAGTGTGTGATGAGTGGAGTGTGGAAGGTTTATTGTAATTTTTATATTTCAATGTCATTGTTGTAAAGGTTTTGTTTCAGATTAACTTATCCATTTAAGATTACGATCTTGTGGTGTTTATCACTAAACTAAAATATCGTTTAGTTCTTAATTATTATTTATCCAGTATCATTTAGTGTCATTTAATGGTCAAAATAAAGAACAAAGTATAAAGAACGAGGCATATTATATAAGTAGATAGTGAATGGACGGGTATTCTATAACATAGCATGATCTTGTGGTGTTTATCACTTTGGTAGTTATGGTTCGTTTGGCATAGTAAAAAAAGTGTCAAATATGTATGTAATAATGTATAAAAAGTCATAGCCACCTCTAGTACTTAAGGCAAGTTTGTCACAAATAGAAGATTAAGAATCTAGTGAATATTGCGATAACGCGATTTCCGTATGCGCTCGAAAATCTCGTACAATTGCACAGTTTTGCGAACGTAACATTTACGTTATAATAAATAAAGTTGCCTTCAAAAAAAATAAAAAGCATTGTCGTTAACTGATAGAATATAACTTCTACGTATTTGAAAATTTTCGCAGTAAAAGCAAAAGCAGGGCGCAAATTCAGTAAATTTATGAATATTTTGCACAAACCTTATAAGATCAAGCACAGAATGTATTGTTTCAACTTTTTCTTCGTTCGGTTCTGGTTCTTTCACGTTAACATTTCCAGGTTAAATGCAAATAAACAAATTACTCCCCAAACATTGTAGTCATAAGACAATAAAGCAATGTTCTTCTTCCCAATTTTCCGCTCCGTTTTGACTCCAATTCAGCGACTGCCAAAAGCAAGCTGGATACGATCGAAGGAAGAACCAAAAGTCTTAAAGCTCTCACCCAAATCTCACCAAGAAACGACACGTACATTGCATATTCCTTCGGTGTTGGATCTATGGACGACTGAACATTGCCATGTAATAAAGAACCAAGTAAAAATCCACAAAGTACGCCGAATAAAATGAAAAATAATATCATATGTTGTTTTGCGTGTTTTAATCCATTGTAGGAACGCTTTCTTGAAGTCATTGTCGAAATTTTGTAGCTCTGAGTGCAATTCAAAGCAACAAATAAACACTGAATCTCAATTTCACAATAACAAAGCCATTAATATACCGCGCCATTGACTATATATAAATATTCAATACTTAGAGGATTAAATCACGTGTTATGCAGTAGCATATTGCTGATTTGCCTTTAATATTAGAAACATTTGTGATTTATGTAGTTGTACAAAGAGCAAACCAGTGTTGTTTTGCAAATTTTTTAAGCAAGAAAACTCAGCACTCTAAAGGCATCATCAAGAAGCTGTAAGTACAATGCTAACAGAATGAATACTAAAGAACAAAAATTCCAATTTTTTTGATATTTATCATGACATCACACAAAAGCCAAATCAAATTATCTAATCTACAACAAGCAGTAAATAGTTCGTTTCCTAACTTAAGTATGTCACAATGTTCAGGTATAAATAGTAAAAGATAATCATAGTTTACAATGATCTACTGTTGGTTCTACATATAAGTATACAATAAAATATGTTATACCAACTGTTCTTGGGTATAACACCTGTCGGTTATAAGATTAAAGGTTCCTGAAATTTACAACAACTTACAAAATCAACTTTCAAATGTTTATTACTATAATGCATGTTTAGATTTTGTCAATTATTATTGGCTCAATCTTCAATTCTGCCATGTCATGGTCGTCATCTTTACTGCCAAGCTCATTTCCTTTTGGATCAGTTCATGAGCTTTAAGAAAAATAACGCCTAAGATTAATGATGGATGCCCAATTAGCTTGGCCAATTCTCATTTTTATGCAAATTTGTTCAACACCTTGAGATAATGTGTTATTTTCAATAGAACCATTTAGGGAAACAGGCCCTCGGATGTAATCACATTGTCTTATGTGTGAGAACAAATTCTTGGGTAAATTACCAATACCATGGCTACTTGAGCGAAAATACTCAACAATCAATTTCCAATCTTCTTCTTTTTCAGCACTGGATAAATCAATTCCTTTAAACTTGCTCAGTTTTTGAGGACTCACATCAAACATGATTATAGCTGGATGTGTACTGCTCAATCCATATTGCTCTAATGAGAACTTTGCATTATTTACCATGTAGAAACCTGCTCCATCAGAGAAGTCTGATTTCTTTCGACCAAAACCCAGCACAATTCCAATTTCCACAATATCCGCAGCACTTTCGTGATCAGTACAATGGAAATATACTTCTGTCTCAGGATTATTTTCATTTAGTTCAGCAACTTTTGATCCAACATGGTGTAGGGCATCTTCTTGCGATGCAACATTGATCATATTTATAGGATGACTATGTCTTCCCTCTTCATCTAAACGTGGGATATTCACAGTAAACCATTCATTTTCATTATCAATTTTGAAAGGAAAATACGAAACTTGATCATTTAAGAAGATATCATACTTAAAATGATCTTCAATGTAAGTTTTCACCCAAGAGAAAATTGGTTTGTGATTTGGATCTGCCATGCTGGTTATCCATTTAGCAATAAATTCAGATCGATGCTTTGTAAAACCAATCTTGCACAAGATTTTAGCAACCTTTTCACCATCTCTGAGATCTTTTAAGCTGTCTTCTTCCTTAAACTCCTTTAAAAATGTTAGCAAATGTACCTTTTCACTTTTGTGTTTTCTCATGTAAGGAGTTAGTTCGAGAAGCCTGCAAGCAAACTCATCTTTCAAACCAAGCACTGAGCACAGAACATCTTCTGGGGTGATATCCAAGTCAAAGAGATCATTTATCTCAGGATGGTTTAGATTGGAAATGGCACTTTCTATACTACTCAAAGCATTATCAAGATTAAATTCATACACATACTCAATTGTAATTTCTTGCTTAAAGCCACAAAAATTGTTGTAGATCAGATTTATTTCATCGAGAAGCTTGGTTAACTTGTAAAGATCTACTTTTAGATCATTCAGTTGATTTATCTTTTCATAAGTGAGTTTGCCTTTATCAGACAATAATGTCTTTACCTTGTCCAACAAGATACAACAAAATACAAGACACTGATGAAGAACATAAAATGAACGAATTAAGTGGCGGTCAGTTTTACCAGCACTTTCATGTCTGTCTAGGGTACGCAATTGGGAACGCCAGTCGCCAAGAACAGTCACATATTTCTCAACATCTTCATTGTTTTTAGTAGTTCGCTTTTCCTTGATTTTAAAACGTTCACGTTTCCCAATGATTGGATATTTATTCATCCTAAAAGCCTGGAAGAAGAACGGATAAAGAAAACATGAAGTCACACTTAAACATATGACACAAATCGATATTTAAAGTGCTCACCAAAACCGCGTGCTCTCAAATAGACTCGTCTTTGAACGTTTATTTATAAGAATCAAAATGCTTGAAACAGAAGTGTAAAGTGCTTTCATGAAAATAGTACATTATACATGATAACTTACGTTGGAAAATTTCCACGCTACAGAAGTATGCCAGGGCAGCAAAGATGAAAGGACAGAATAAATATAAAACTATATCACATTTACCATTACTCAAAAAATGATTGCCTTACACTGCATTTCAGCCAATCAGGTTGTGCTGCTTCAGGCGTCATCAGGCGTCATAAAATAAACACAATGCGGTGCGGTGATTGGTCAAGAGCTTGAATAAGTCTCACTCAACATGAGGGAAATACATTAAACAATTTATCAAATCATTCTGCATGTGTGTAGCAGTTTACAATATCTTCTCGTTTTTAAATAACCAGAATTTACCATTATTATTTGGCTTGTTTTGAAATCAACTGCTTTAGTCTACTAGGAACACTTCGAGAGAAAACGGTGAAAGGTTTGATGTTAAAAACACTGTTAAAACTGATTACATTAAAAATTATCATTCCATTCAAAGTTAATAATGACATAAATAAAAAAATAAATACATATTTTTACATTCAAAAGTTCAAAGTAAGGTTACTAATAATGGCTACATTAATTAATTGTCAATTAGCTACACAAGATGTAAAGAAGTATGTCCTTGAAAGTTTCCGTTTTTGAAACAAGATGCGTTTTCAAGTGCTTGCATTTCACACTATTATATAGTGAATGGTTATTTTTACGATAATATAGTGAATGGTTCTTTCTACATTTAGAACAGTTTTAAATGCAGTATTTTACATACGCTACAAGACAAAAAAATTTAGATGAATTCCTTGTGTGTTATTGTATTCATTTATGGAGCTTCAAGAAAAATCACGCCTAAAATTGATGATGGATGCCCAATTTGGTTGGCCAATTCTCGTTTCTTTATGCAAATTTGTTCAACACCTTGATATAATGTGTTATTTTTAATAGAACCGTTTATAGAAACAGGCCCTCTGATGAAATCACATTGTCTTATGTGTGAGAACAAATTGTTAGATAAATTACCAATACCTGGGCTACTTGAGCGAAAATACTCAACAATCAATTTCCAATCTTCTTCTTTTTCAGCACTGGATAAATCAATTCCATTAAACTTGCTCAGTTTTTGAGGACTCACATCAAACATGATAATAGCTGCATGTGTACTGCTCAATCCATATTGCTCTAATGAGAACTTTGCGTCATTTACCATGTAGAACCCTTCTCCATCAGAGAAGTCTGATTTGTCTCGACCAAAACCGAGCTCAATTCTGTCTTCCAGAATATCAACAGCACTTTTGTGATCAGTAGAATGGAAATACACTTTTGTCTCAGGATTCTTTTTATTTAGTTTCGCAACTTCTGATTCAACATGGCATATAGCATCTTCTTGCAAGTCAAAATTGATCATGTTTACAGGATGACTATGTTTTCCGTCTTCATCAAAACGTGAGAAATACTCAGTAAACAATTCATTTTGAATATCATCTTTGAAAGGAAAATACGAAACTTGATCATTTAACAAGATATCATACTTAAAATGATTTTCAATGTAAGTTTCCACCCAGGATAAAATTGGTTTGTGATTCGGATCTGGCATGCTGGTTATCCACTTAGCAATAAATTGAGATCGAGGCTTTGTAAAACCAATCTTGCACAAGATTTTAGCAACCTTCTTACTATCTCTGAGATTTTCTATGCTGTCTTCTTCGTCAAACTCCTTCAAGAACCTTAGCAAATTTTCCTTTTCACTCCTGTGTTCTCTCATGTGAGGACTTAGTTTGGAAAGCCTGAAACCAAACTCAACTTTCAAACCAAGCACTGAGCACAGAATATTTTCTGGGGTGATATTCAAGTCAAAGAGATCATTTATCTCAGGATGGTTTAGATTGGAAATGGTACTTTTTATTTTGTCCATAGCATTTGTAAGATTTTCAAGATTCTCATCATCTCTTATTTCTTGCTTGATGCCACAACAATTGTTGTAGTTAAGATTTGTTTCATTGAGAAGCTTGGTTAAATTGTTGAGATCTACTTTTAGATTATTTAGTTGATTTATCTTTTCATAAGTGAGTTTGCCTTTATCAGACAATAATGTCTTTACCTTGTCCAACAAGATACAACAAAATACAAGACACTGATGAAGAACACAAATTGAACGAATTAAGTAGCGTTCACGTCTGCCAGCACTTTTTTGTTGACTTCTGCATAGGATACGTAATTCGACTTGCCATCCGCTAAGATCAGTCACAAATTTCTCAACATCTTCATTGATTTTACCAATCTTTGATGTGAAATGTTTATCAACGCGAAGGATAGGATAATGTTTATGCATGACTGCCAATGATTAGATATTTATTCATACTAAGAAAGAAGAGCGGACAAAAACATAAACATCAAGTCACACTTAAACATTTGACACAAATCTATGCTTAAAGTTCTTACCAAAAACATACAAAACTATTTTAAACTTTAGATATAAAACAATACTACCCAACAATAATAACCGCAGAATTTTCAAGCTAAATATAAATATATACAACGTCATCATATTACCGTGAATGAGACTTTGTGCTATGAAATTACAAAACTCGCCTCTGAATGTTTACTTATAAGAATCAAAAAGCCTAAAACATAAGGGATAAATTCTTTCAAGAAAATAGCACATTTATATATAACTTACTATTTTACGATAAAAAATTTTCTCTTCACGGAAGTTAGGGCACGAATTTAGGTATTTGTGGTATTTAAGTATTTTAAGTTCACTAAAAACCTTTTTCGCAAATTAGCACGACTTTTTGAGAAACTAAACGTTTAACTGCGTACAGACATAATATAAAATAGAATCAAAATATAACAACAAGACAAAAACGCTAGTTTCGATTTCAAGCACAAACGTAACAACAAACATTGGCAATACTGATGACATTTAAGAAATACATTTAAGCACACTCACGCATCATGAAAAACAAGAAATTGTCCCCATTATTCACCATCCATACGACACTAACACAGTACTTTAGTTCAGTACTCGTCCGATAAGTTACAAAATTGCTACTAAATAAAACAACAAAATACGGGGGAAAAATGATATTAATGTTATATTGATCCGCGAGGAGTTGTGGGGTAGATGCGTTTGTTTGGTCACCTGACTAAGTCGTTGCCTAATTGCCATTGGGTAATTTATTAGTATGGTAATTTCCAAACATGTAAATGAAAATAATATAATAATTTCTACCCAGTATTTAAGATTGAAAGAATCGAACTTTTAAACCGAAAAAGGCACAAAGATTAATTTAATTTTAAAAAGTACGCAGTATCGTTTGATAAGTGTTGTTAATCGCTTTTGGGTGACTTTAGAAAAATACGCTATTTATGGTAGTTTGAATATCGTGTGGTGTTAGTATCGTTACAGGAAAGTTCCTGTATGTTGTTGTCTGGCGATTTAAATGGATGTTTTCTGCTTTACGTTTGGATCATTTTGTCTAAAAAATGTCGAGGAAAAGAGTTGCGTTTCAATTTAGCTGGTAGATACAGGTACTCAACGGTAGTAAATCATTCGGCTGGTGTAATTAAGATTTTTAAAATGTTGACTTTAGCGAAATCTACTTTAGTGTTGTGAAAACATTACCAGACGAAATCGAAAAATACGAGCCGGTCGATATTAGGGAGCTTTAGCAAGAGTACGACTACGACAACGAGTACGAAGTTTGACCGTGTAAGAGAATGGCACGAGAAAGTTTGTTCTTGTTGTCGCTTCGTCAAAATTTGGTTTAAGTTGTAAACAACAGAACGAGCCTTTTTATTGTGAAAATACCGACGTTTGGGAAGCAGCTACGGCTCCATTTGTCAATAATGATATCAACTAATTGGTACTACTGATTTTGCAAGAAGGTAGGACTCTTTAGACTGAAAAATCTTCACTATTTTAAGTTTTATGTACGATATATTTATACTATTTTAGTGTTTGTTTACCTTTCACTATTTCGTATTGCGTACGAAATACATAAAAGTTTTTAAGGTCATATTTTCCTCTTAAATGAACATATGCGCTCAAAAAGAGTTCTAAAGTAAAGCCCGGATGCTCAAAAATAGTACTGTAAACTAATTTCTTACACAATGAAAAAATATACCTACTTTCTTTGCTTAAAACATCGTTTTTTTACAAAACATCGTACTCAAATTGATGACGGCTACGTGTTTTTGTTGTCGCAACAATGTTTTTTCGCCAAAATGACGTAAATCGTACTCGTAGTTTTTGCTAAAGCTTCGTATTAATAACTTGCCTGTTGAAAAGTTTGTGCGCTGAAGTTAAAATCAACAAAATACAGAAGTTTTTTCATGAATAAGTAACAAATTTCTGTAATCTCGAAAAACTCACTCATGCATGTTTCTCCCAAATTGCACTCATTCACCTATACAAATAGAATTGATGTCGGGAAAATCTACATAACATTTTGATTATTTTGATAAACACGTTTGCAAGACGACACTTCGGAAAATATCTCGTGGTGCTAGGCCCCAGTTTGTATACGTTGAACTTTATTTCTTGACATCATGCTTAACGTCATCCAATAATTGTTTAAAATTTGTTTACATCACTATTTTTACAATTCAGCTTTTGCAATGGTAAATAATGACTATAAACAAAATCAAAATGTCCTACGAGTTACGTTAAGTGTGATACGATTGTTTTCATGGATAACACAACTCCGTGCAATTTCAAACTGTTTATTACTGTACTAACTTTCCTTTCTTGTTTTCCTGTGTCTCTTACTGCCAGTTTATAAAGACTGCACCCACCAAAAATGGGGAACCGCTCATTGCCTCAGCCAATCTGGATTTCTTTATACAAACCTGCAGAATTTTTTTCCTTTGGTCACCTGCTGGACGAGCGACATTTGTAATTGGACTTTTGATAAAATCGCAATATTCTACTTCCGACAATAGTTCCCTGCTCATGGGACGGTTACGGTCATCCCTTCCATTCCTAAAGTATTGAGTAACTGTAGCAAAGTCTTGTTTATTGCGCTTACCACATAAATTCAATTCTCGCAAATCGTTCAAATTATTTGGGCCTAAACAAAAAATGAGAAGAGCTGGTTTTTTCTCAGTATAATATTTTAACGAGTGTTCGTGATCATTTGCCACGTAGAAACCATCTCTATGCGACAAGTCGCCACATTCACGACCTTTACTTAATTTAATACCATTCTCAAGAATATTCTGAGCAGACGAATGATCAGTGCCATGGAAATATAACTCATTATCTTTGTCTTCTTCTTCCTTCAATTTTACAATCTCGTTGATACCTCTAATTGCTTCATCTTTGTTACTTGCATTAAAAATCTTTAATTTTTGATTAGTTTGGTTCCCTGCATCATTAAAACGTGAAAAATTCTGCGTAAACCAACCGTTTAGGTTGTTTTCATTGTACGGAAAAAGAGGAAAGGCGTCATTCGTAAATATAGTACAGTTGAAAAATTTCTTAATGTAGGTTCCAAGTAAAATTGTCATTGATTGATCATCAAGATGAGACAGAATAACCGAGAGTGCATTTTCTCCTTCACTTTTCATGATCTCTTTTTTAACCAACTCATTCGACATGTAAAGCAAGCTCACAATATCGTACATATCAGTTCTAGCGAAAGGACTCCACTCAGGTCTATTTCGGAGCATAGCAGTGATCGTTTGGTTGTATTGTGGTACAACATTATTCTTTTGTGGATAAATGGTGTAGACGTCTCTCATTATTGATTTTGATAAACAAGGAGGCATTCTAAAGAACATCATAGATACTCTTACTAAAATAACTTCAATTAAAAGCATTTCAGAAAATGAATTACATAATTAGAAAAATTTCAAATATTTAAAGCGAAAACGTCGATACGTTCACAATGGCTACAGTTGTAAACGTTTATTTATTTGCATTAAAATTCCTTCAAAGCTTATGAAGGAATCGCTTTGACGGTTTCACGACATTGAATCTAGTGGACAAATTTATGTTTATAGTGGTTTGCATATTATGATAAAAACATGACACTTTTAATGCGAAGCTGGTATACAGTTGATTTCAGGTTTATATTTTGAGCAACGTTGGCAATCATCGAACAGATTTGCAAATTTGATCGCGAACTTTCGAGAAACATAAGCACTTTTGAACAAACTTGAAAGTATTACGCGAAAAAGTTGAGATAAATCGAATGTAACATGCTCCAATGCACCACAGTTATGAGGAAGTGAAGACCACTTGTGCTATGTGGCTATATCTTTGATAATCTAATACCAAAAAATGAGTTATTACCGTCAACAAATTTATAGTGTATGATAAACAAGCTAGAAGGTAATTTCTGATCCCTATTTAATGACGACTTTGAAAGTTTTAAAACGATAAATTTTAAAAATTGTTTGCACTCAAGGGAACTTTAAATTCCTTTGTCATTAAAGTGCGCAATAGATTTGTTACAGTTAAGGCAAAGGAGCCAATACATACTTCAAAACGTATCACACGATTTTCACTTAAGCGTGACTTAAATATTATAAAACATGTTTTGATGTTTAAAGTGTTCAGGAAATTGACGCCTCCTGGTTATAACTGGTTTAAATATTTTCATGTTTCCCATAAGTATATGTTTGTTCGTCTATGTTTCGACACGGCGCATGAAACCGTTCAAAAGAATAGATATTTGAAGGTATTGACGACAGCCCAGCACAATTTCCTATGTATGATAAAAATTGTCACAATTATACCCAAATGCGTTGAACATAGTTGCATTTACATATAAAGATTTCTTTGGTTTCGCTTTTATTGTTGGAACGACAACGTATACTGACGTCGTATTCATCAAAATTTACAAAACTCCATTCTAACATTAACTAAGAATGTTTACTTACTTTTACAGAAGGATAACAGCTGGTACTTGGCAATTTTTATATAACTATGAACTGAGGAGCTTCGATGGACGGCGTACTTTTCAGCAAGAAATGACAAGAACGCGTCTCTGTGTCGGTACCAGACCTCTGACGTAATTTTTCCCGCTAATTCCTATAATTAGCATCGATCACGAGGCAAAGATTTCCGGTGATCCCTGAGTACCCCATCAAGTCAAATAAAAATGTTAGTTATAACAATAAAAGGATTGTAAACCAAAATCACATAAAGCAAATATGTCATAGCTACCTCTTTTCCTGAAGCGAAATCAACCGCAAGTTTAAAAATGTATAAATCAAGGAAAAGTCGCGTTCATATCACCTGTCAAGGAGATATTTCTGAAAACGACAGTTATTACTGTCATGCCCTTCGTTATCAGTGACGTTTGTTAAATGGCGGATCTAGTGTACCTCAAAATAAGTTATAGCTCCTAAATTTTAAATTGAAATTACATTCAGAAAAAACTATTGGTTTTTAATTTCTAAAGAATATAATTTTACGAATGGATTTGCCTCTAAGGTGTTTAGAAATGTAAATATATACCAAAATGTACTGCAGTAATTTATTTTGACGTAGTCTTGATCCGGCACTGCCTGAGCCAAACGTTTTTTCCTTCGGCAGGAAAAGTTTTTGAAAAAACGTTAAACTGTGTACCCTGGAACATTAAAAATTTCTTTTGGCCAGAGGTAAACACCACGGAGAATTTACTAGAATTTACTAGACTTTGCAGTCTTTACAGCGTTCTATAAGGCATAGCCTAGAATGGCATATTCTGAGAAACGGTAGGTGATGAAATGGGATTTATCTTAAAGAAGAAAACAGTTTACAATCAAACAGTGAAATTTTCAAAAGATTTTTTATTATTGTATGTTATTTAGGCCTGGTGCAGCTATTGTAAGATATAATTACATTGCTGTGCACATTTGGAACATCTATAAATAATTAAATCTTGTTTTCGTGAACATCAAAATGTTCATCCTCATTGTGTTTATGTAGCAATATTGCAATTTGATGCATTTCAATGAGAATGATCTGTCATATACAGTGGTGTAAAACAAAGCTTTGTGCTATTCTTGGTTCTTAAGGTTCATTTTCCTTGACAACTCATTTATTGACAGTTGTCTTGTTGTACACAATGTTCAGTAGTATATATAATAATCATTCTACAATTGAAATCTTCACATAAACATATTTAAAAGTTAAAATGACATGATGCATATGAGGTATAGTTCTATTGGTTAAGAACAGTTCATGTACGACGTCAGATGATGTTAATGTTGATTCATAATGGTTTCAAAAAAGCTTGGCTGACTGATATTTATGTTAATAAACATATAACCCAGGCTGTCACATGTTACAATCGTAAACAAAATCTCAGCAAACTTTTGGCATAAATATAAAGCAGTTTTAAAATTCAAAAGGAATAAAGATCTTTTTGACTTTGAAATTCAAAAATTTCAATAAACCTTCCACTCACTGTCTCAAAGAGATGTGAAATTGAGTGTGTGATGAGTAGAGTGTGGAAGGTTTATTGCAATTTTTATATTTCAAGGTCATTGTTGTAAAGGTTGCGTTTCAGATTAACTTATCCATTTAAAATCTAGATGTTCTTATTATGATCTTCTAGCATTACCTTTGCTTTCTTTGGTATGGTTCATATGACATAATAAAATGTATTTACAACTAATATCATAAATGTATTTAATATTGTTTCACAATAGTGAAGGTGAATGGGTTATCTACACACTTGGAAATCTCCACACTTGGAAATCTCCACACTTGCACAGTTTTGCGAACGAAGCATTTACATTCTAATAAAAAAAGGTTTCCTTTATTAAAGTAAAAAGCCGACAATTATGACCTTATGATTCATGAAAGCCTTCTTATATCCAAACTTAAACCCTCTCTTAACACCCAAGGCAACTCAATCCCCCTTCACCTTTTTTAATGTACTGCCCTTCTCACTTCATTCCTTCATCTAAACTTCCTACTCTCCTCACTTGTAATTTAACAACCTGTAATATATGCTTGTATTTAAAACCTCAAGTATATAATTTATCTCAATTCTCAAATAATCTGAAGAAGAAACGTAATTATTAAAAAACCTATTATCTTCCTTTATTTTATTATTGTGATGGCTTTTTTAAATGTCTTATGTTGAGCTATTATGTTCATATTGAAAAAATAAAAAACATTGTCGTTAAATAATAGAAATAAAAGTTATACGTATAAGAAAATTTTTGCAGTGAACGCAAAAGCTGGGAGCAAACTCAGTAAATTTATGAATATTTTGCAAACCTTGTAAGATCAAGCACAGAATGTATTGGTTCAACTTTTTCTTCGTTCGGTTCTGGTTCTTTCACGTTAACATTTCCAGGTTAAATACAAATAAACAAATTACTTCCCAAACATTGTAGTCATAAGACAATACAGCAATGTTCTTCTTCCCAATTTTCCGCTCTGTTTTGACTCCAATTCAGCGACTGCCAAAAGCAGGCTGGATACAATCAAAGGAAGAACAAAAAGTCTTAAAGCTCTCACCCAAATCTCACCAAGAAACGACACGTACATTGCATATTCCTTCGGTGTTGGATCTATGGACGACTGAACATTGCCATGTAATAAAGAACCAGGTAAAAATCCACAAAGTGCGCCGAATAAAATGAAAAATAATATCATATGCTGTTTTGCATGTTTTCATCCATTGTAGCAACGCTTTCTTGAAGTCATTGTCGAAATTTTGCAGCTCTGAATACAATTCAAAGCAAATTCTCTCAACTCCCAACTTCACAATTCACAATAACAAAGACTATAAACATACCGCGCCATTGACTGTATATAATTATATAATAACCAGAAGAATTTGAGCAATTTCATTGGTTGAGAGCTATGATCTATAAGAGGACAACACAGACAATGACGTCACAGAAAATTTCATGTTTATAAAGGCAAGCAAATGGCGGATATATTTGAAAATTTATCGCAATACCTCCCTGAATGCGAAAATAAAGATATTCACAAAGACCTAGTTGAGGCAGTTAACGTATTTGAGCATAAATAAAAAAAAAACCCGGTTTTCAAACATTAATTTGTACTTCGTCTTCGATAACAAAATTTCAACAAAATTGATCAGTCATTGCTTGTTTATTTTGTTAGCCAATCACATTTTATCACGTGATCAGGCTAGACTTTTCAATGTTCCAAGTGTTGGGGGACAAAGAAAACAGTTTGGCCGTTTAATTTTAGCGATGTTTTACTGCTATTCATCAATGCATTATAATACTACTTCATGAGATGATTGTTTAGAATCGTAATTCATACTGTTATTCAAAAAATAAAACTTCCTATTGACCACCTGCTTTTGGGGTGCGTGTTAGCCGTGCAAAATGAATACTACAAGAATAAAAAACAAAACATTTTGCATTTTTTTAACCAATCTATGTGCTCTCGGCAATGGAAAAATACATAATCAATGTGGGTGGTTTGCTAAAATTAAAAACTTTCACCCAGTAAAGGGCGAAACTAGAACGTTAAGTTGGTGTGTGTGAATATTCATATATTCTGCTTTTGAAATTATAATCACTAACAAATCAAATCAGTAAAGCAGCTGAATATATGAATATTCACCCTCCCACTTAATATTTTATCATAACTTGTTCATAAACTTGAGTATATCAGGATGTTCAGGTATAAATAGTAAAAAGAAAATCATTGTCTACAATGTTCTACTTACTGTTGGTTCTAGCTATTGGTATGCAATAAAATTTTCTTTCGTTCACAGTTAAATTTTATAGCAAGTGGTAGCCTATAGACGAAAATAAAATATTGTCACAGTGCTAACTATGGTCATCAATTTCATGCTCTGCCCACTAATTTGCACCCATAATTATTCAAAAGTATTGAATTTTGGGAGCTTTAAGAAAAATCACTCCTAAGATTGATGATGGATGCCCAATTTGGTTGGCCAATTCTTGTTTCTTTATGCAAATTTGTTCAATACCTTGAGATAATGTGTTATTTTGAATAAAATCATTAATGGAAACAGGACCTCTGATGTAATCACATTGTCTCAACTGTGAGTACAAATTCTTTGGTAAATTACCAATACCATGGCTACCAGAGTGAAAATACTCAACAATCGAATTCCAATCTTCTTCTTTTTCAGCACTGGATAAATCAATTCCTTTAAACTTGCTCAGTTTTTGAGGACTCACATCAAACATGATAATGGCTGGATGTGTACTGGTCATTCCATAATGTGCCAAAGAGAACTTTGCGTTATTTACCATGTAGAAACCTTCTCCATCAGAGAAGTCTAATTTGTCTCGACCAAAACCAAGCTCAATTCCGATTTCCAGAATATCAACAGCACTATTGTGATCAGTACAATGGAAATATACTTCTGTCACAGGATTATTTTCATTTAGTTTAGAAACTATTGATATGACATGGTTAAGAGCATCTTTTTGACGTGCAACATTGATAACATTTACTTGATGACTATCTTTTCCCTCTTTGTCAAAACGTGGGATACTCACAGTAAACCATTCATTTTGGTTATCATTTTTGAAAGGAAAATCCGAAACTTGATCATTTAACAAGATATCATACTTAAAATGATTTTCAATGTAAGTTTCCACCCAGGATAAAATTGGTTTGTGATCCGGATCTGGCATGTTGGTTATCCATTTAGCAATAAATTGAGATCGATGCTTTGTAAAACCAATCTTGCATAAGATTTCAGCAACATCTTCACTATCTCTGAGATTTTCTATGCTGTCTTCTTCTTTAAACTCCTTCAAGAACCTTAGCAAATTTTCCTTTTCACTCCTATGTTCTCTCATGTGAGGACTTATTTCGAGAAGCCTGCAAGCAAACTCATCTTTCAAACCAAGCACTGAGCACAGAATATCTTCTGGGGTGAGTTCCAAGTCAAAGAGATTGTTTATCTCTGGATGGTTTAGATTGGAAATGATACTTTTTATATTTTTCACAACTTCCACAAGATCCACGTCATTTGCCACATCTCTAATTTCTTTCTTCAAGCCACCAAAATTGTAGTCGTAAAGATATCTTTTATCAAGAAGCATGGTTAAATCGGTGAGGTCTTTTTTTAGTTTATACAATTGTCCTGTCTTTTCATCAGTGAGTTTGTCATCATCAGACAATAATGCCTTTACCTCGTTCAACAAGATACCACAAAATACAAAACATCGATGACAAACAAAAATTGGACCAATAAAGTAGTCAAGTAACTCAAGTTGGGGTTTGCCCGACTCTCGTAAATCTAACAACCGTGACTTAGGGAGATGGTGTTTCAGCTGCCATCGGAAATGCCAAATTACAATTTCCTTTAAGTCATCATCTTCAAAATTTTTTAGGGCAAGCTTTAAAGTATTTATGAGATCATTGTTTGATGTCAAACGTTCAAGAATGCCAATGATTGGATACGTATTCATACTAAAAATGTAAAGTAACACATAAAACATCAAGTTACACCTAAACATTTGGCACAAATCTATGCTTAAAGTTCTTATCAAAAACTTTAGTTATAAAACAATGCTTTCCAACAATAAGAATGGCCGCAGAATTTTCACTGCGTCATCCCGTGAATTAGACTTTGTGCTATGAAATTATAAAACTCGCCTCTGAAAGTTTACGTATAAGAATCAAAAAGCTTAAAACACAAAGGGTAAATGCTTTCAAGAAAATAGCACATTACATATAACTAAGGAACTTACGATAAGAAATTTTCTCTCTACGGAAATACGCCACGACAGCAAAGAGGAAAATACATAATATTATAAACTCACGAACCTAGTTTACTAAAAAACCCTTTTGTCGCAAATTTGCACGACTTTAGCATAAACTAAATGTTTAACGGCGTACAGACATAATATAAAATAGAATCAAAATATAACAACAAGACAAAAACGCTAGTTTCGATTTTAAGTACAAACGTAACAACAAACATTGGCAATACTGATATGTATTTAAAACCTCGTGTATATATATTAACTCAATTAATCTGAAGATGTCTTAAGTTAAAGACGAAACGTAATTAATAAGTCCTTCTCTACTTTATTATTGTGATGGCTTTTTTAAAAGTATTATGTTGGGCTATTATGTTCATATTGAAAATTCGCTTTCCGCCTGGCAAATCTCTGGCCACGATTTTAAATAAGTTCACTTACGTATCACGAAAAACAAGAAATTCTCCCCATACGAATCATCAATACGACGCTAACACAGTACTTCAGTACTTTAAGTCCGATAAGTTCCAAAAGTTCAACTTTAGCAACCAAGAAAATAATCAAATTACCAAGAATACTTCTTTTGAAAAAGAATGATGATAATATGGCACGCGAGGACTTGTGGGATAGATGCGTTTGTTTGGTCACCTGACTGAGGCGTTGCCAAATTGCCATTGGGTAATCAAACATGTAAATGATCATAATTTACTACCCCGGATTTAAAATTGAAAGAAATTTAATCTTCAATACTGAAAATTTTTTTAATTTCGTAAGGCATAAAGATTAATTTAGTTTCAATAGGTAAGCAGTATCGTTTTATAAGTGTTGTTATCGCTTTTGGGTGACTTAAGAAAAAAATACGCTATTTATGGAAGTTTAAATATTGTGTGGTGTTAGTATCAATAGTTGAGATAGTTACGAAAAGTTAGATTATTTTTTAGTGACAGTTTTTGGTTTACATGGTAGGGTTTAAGCTGTTTGAAAATCGAGTAAAGTTCATAGAAACATGGTTGTTCCACAAAATCAAATCTATTCTATTTCTTACTCCAGATTTACATTATTATACAATGTCGATGGAACATCGATTGTGATAGACTAAGAGGCAAGGTAATTCTCCAAATTATGCTACTTACATAACATTGAAAATTAATGGTAGGTGACATAATGTTCATGTGAAAATTGTTAACACAAACTGGAAATGTGCAAACTTGCTCTGGATTTTGCCCAGTGTTTTAGTTTTTATACGTTTGCATAATATAAAAATCATTCAGACTTCGTTAAAGAAGCTTGGTCTGAATAAATTTTTATATCATGCTCAACGTCATCCAATAATTGTTTTAAAAATTGTTTACATCAATATTTTTACAATTCAGCTTTTGCAATGGCAAATAATGACTACAAACAAAATCAATATGTCCTACGAGTTACGTTATAAAGTGTGATACGATTGTTTTTATGGAGAACACAACTCAGTGCAATTTCAAACTGTTTATTACTGTACTAATTTCCCTTTTTTGGTTTCTTGCGTCCCCTACGGCCATTTTTGTTAGAATCAGGCTTTATAAAGACTGCACCCACCAATAATGGGGAACCGCTCATCGTCTCAGCCATTTTGGGTTTCTTTACACAAACCTGCAGAATATCTTTCCTTGGGTCACCTGCTGAACGACCATCACTTGTAATTGGACTTTTGATATAATCGCACTTCTCTAATTCCGACAATAGTTCCCTGCTCATGGAACCTTTACGGGCTATTTTTCCATTCCTAAAGTATTGAGTAACTGTACCAAAGTCTTGTTTATTGCGATTACCACATAAATACAATCCTTGGAAATCTTCTAAATTATTTGGGCGTAAACAAAAAATGAGAAGGGCTGGTTCTGTTATATTAGAATATTGCGTTAACGAGTATTCATTATCATTTGCCATGTAGAAACCATAATTATGCGACAAGTCACACTTTCCACGACCTTTACCTAATTCAATACCATTCTCAAGAATATTCTGAGCAGAGGAATGATCAGTGCCATGGAAATATAACTCAGTATTTTCGTCTTCGTTTTTCTTCAATTCTACAACCTCGTTGATACCTCTAATTGCTTCGTCTTTGTTACTTGCATTAAAAATGTTTAATTTTTGATTAGTTTTGTCCCCTTCATCATTAACGCGCGAAAAATCCTGCGTAAACCATTCATTCTGGCATTCTTTATTAAATGGAAATAAAGAAAGCGCGATATTCAATATAGTACATTTGAAAAATTTCTTAATGTAGGTTCCAAGTAAAACTGTTATTGATTGATCATCAAGATGAGACAGAAGAATGGAGAGTGCATTTTCTCCTTCACTTTTCATGATCTCTTTTTCAACCAACTCATTCGACATGTGAAGCAAGCTCACAATATCGTACATATCAGTTCTAGAGAAAGGACTTCGCTCAGGTCTTTTTTGGAGCGTAGTGCAGTAGACATCTCTCATTATTGATTTTGATAAACAAGGAGCCATTCTAAAGAACATGATAGATACTCTTACACAAATAACACAGAAAAAACGAATAACAGTAATTAGAAACCTTTCAAATATTTAAAGCGAGGAAGTCGATACGTTCACATTCACAATGGCTACATATGTAAACGTTTATTTATTTGCATTAAAATTCCTTTAAAGCTTATGAAAGCTTATTCCTTCAACGTTTCTTACCAAACGTTGTGGGAAACGTTATTTTGCGTAACTTTGCCTCATGTATTTGAAATTTTTGTTGAGATAGTTTTTCATGGAACGAATGAGTAAATTTGATCGTGAACTTACGATAAACATTTCCACTATTGCAAAAACTTCGAAATATCAAACGGAAAATTTAAATCAAATGTAACATGCTCCAATGCACCACAGTTATGAGGAAGTGATGAACACTTGTGCTGTGTGGCTACATCATTTATAATCAAATACCAAAGAATGAATTAATTATTTTCAAAAAATTCAGAGTGTATTAAAAAACAAGCTACAAAGTAATTTTTGATCCATAATAATGACTTTGAAAGTTTTAAAACGATAATTTTTACACCAAATTGTTTGCACTCACGGGAACTCTATATCCCTTTTTGCGCAATAGACTTGTTACAATCAAGGCAAAGGAGCCAATACATACTTCAAAATTTATCACACGATTGTCACTTAAGCGTGACTTTAAACATTATAAAACATGTTTCGATGTTTAAAGTGTTAAGTGTTCAGGAAATTGACGCCTCCTGGTTATAAATGGTCGAATTATTTTCATGTTCCTAATAAGTACATAGATGTTAGGTCGTCAACGTTTTGATACCAGGATACGCCGCATAAAACCGTTCAAAAAAATAGATATTTGAAGCTATTGACGACAGCCTAGTACAATTTTCTCTTTATGATGAAAACTGTCACAATTATACCCAAATGCGTTGAACATAGTTGCAATTACAAATACATTTTTCATTGGTTTCGCTTTCATTATGGAAACGACGACGAATATTGTTGTCTGAATTCATCAAAATTTACAAAACTCCATTCTAACGTTAGCTAAGAATGTTTACTTACTTTAACAGAAGGATAACAGCTGGTATTTGGCAATTTTTATATATCTACGAACTGAGGAGCTTCGATGGACGGCGTACTATCCAGAATGAAATGACAAGAATCGCGTCTCTGTGTCGGTACCTGATCTCTGACGTAGTTTTTCCCGCTAATTCCGATTATTACCATTGATCACGAGGCAAAGATTTGCCGTGCTTCCTAGAGTACTCCATCAAGTCAAATAAAAATGTTAGTTAGGATAATAAAATATAATAATGACCTCTTTCCTGAATAAGTTTAAATCGTTTTAAGATTTTTACATTTCTGATTTCTATGAAGGCCTATTTCTGTTAAAACTGACAACTTTATGTCAACAGACACAATAGAAAAACAGTTGTCCAATTATATGTAATACATATTAAAGAGCATTTCATATAACCAATCAAAAACCATAAAACATTTTGTATGAAACATGTTTAGCTCCTAAGTTAAACATAAAGTACTACTTGAATAAGAACATGACAAACTCTGCTTGTTTTATTCCTTTCTCTGAAGCTGCAAAAAACAGCAGCTCATTAAACATACCTCAGTTGTATGATTTCACATCTTTGATACATCATACAGGTGTGCAAAATGTCCAATGGACTCAGGTGATGTCCTTTTGATAATAGTTACACAGTCAGAGAAAGCAAACATGAGACAGTCATTGTGTAAATGGTGTGAACACATGCTTTGTTATTTTATTTTGTTTTGGAGACACATAACTTTTCTTCAATATGCAAAAAACATATTTAAAAGTTAAAATGACATGATGAATATGAGGTATAGCTTTATTGGTTAAGAACAGTTCATGCACGACGTCTGATGCTGTTAATGTTGATTCATAATGGTTTCAAAAAAGCTTGGCTGACTGATAATTATGTTAATAAACGCATAACCCAGGCTGTCACATGTTACAGTCGTAAACAAAATCTCAGCAAACTTTTGCCATAAATATAAAGCAGTTTTAAAATTCAAAAGGAGTAAAGATCTTTTTATAAAGTCTAACGATGATCAATGATTGCAGTACAATAGAACTTACCTAAATGAAGTCATAATATTAAACGTCGCTCGATTTTGAAATAAAAATACAAACAATTCTTTATGTTGATGATGGCACAAAATATGTACAAAGATACAACGCAGATTGTTTAATCAGTTGCATTTTTCAATGCAAAATTTTCAAGAACCTCAAACGGTAATACTTTAAATACAGACGAACAAGTTTACAGTTTTGAGTTTACATGACTGACTTTACCGATTGTCGAAAACATCCGGTGGAAACTATCGGTATTCGCCGATTATTATTCGATGTCTGTCGTGAAAATGGTTTGTGACGTATTCAGCGCGGTAACATTTTTCTGATGTGGAAGCGGGAAATTCGAATACATTCTTTATGTAAATAAGACATAAGAGCGCAATAAAAGGCAATAAAAATTTAATTTTTCACAAATAGAAAATACGACATCGAAAAGTACATTTGTTCTAATTAGTTAATATTTCAATTATTATTATGTTCACGGCGCACTTGTACAAATTATAGATAATTAAAGTTCATCAGGAATTGAAGAAAAATTTAAATCATACAATTCAATAAGAAGTTCCAAATATAAAAGTAAGAGTAAAAATTTTAAATATTCCAGTCTGATTCTTTCTGCTCCAGGTTCCATCCCTTGATCCTCTGCAACACTCTCTGGAACGTTTTGTGAACGGGAATTATTTTTTCGTTTTGATGTACTTTCTTCAAGCTCTCGCGATGTTCCTCTTGTCCGTATTTGATGAAAGTTAGTTCTGGATTTTTTCACCGTTTTCGCTCCTTTCCTTATTTTTGTATTACAAAATCACAGTTTTCGCGTTTTTATTCCTTTTACAAACTTCTGATTAAGTCAGAATTTTTATAACCAGTAGAGAGTTTTAACCCTGAAGCTCTGTTTTTTTTTGGCTTTGTAACGACTGAAAAATAAGATGGAAAGTTGTATTGAAATTTGAAAGTTGAAGGTGACGAGGACATTTTCAGTCAAGCGAGGCATTTTTAGAAGATGAATACTTAAATTACAAATTTACAACAAAGTAAGAGCAAAGGTATTCATATCTTCAACATATTCATCGATATTGAAGTTGTTCACATAGGAACTGGTTGAAAACTTTGCTTCGCTTAGTGACAACAGAGGTACTTTAATTCGCATATTTTGATGATGTACATCTCGTAGAGTTTGAAAGATCCACATTTACAAACATGTAACGATACTCCCGGGTTTAAACCATTTACTTTATTTGACGAAGTTCTACAAAAGGTTTGCTAAATCACAAATACTTTACGACCTGGTGGCGTCTTAGACCCTGATCCGGCTTAAAAATTTGACGTCTTAAATGAACGTCGTGCTTGCTAAACAATCTACATCTTAAGCTACGTATGGTTCGGATCTTAAGTAAAGCAAAATATTTTATTACCTAGTGTAAAATAAAATAGATAAGTCATATCTACCTTTTCTTTTAAAGCCAACTTAGCCACGTAAAGAAATATACAAGAATCAAGTCAACTAGTCAAGTCTCCAATTTTACACGTTTATAGTGTCAGTGTCACTGCTTTCTCTGGAGGGTTATGCATGTGTATATGAATAATGCATGATATACTATCTTTAATCTTATTGGTGAAAGACCTGATAAAAATCGGTGGAAAAAATGTATCACTATAGTTTGTATCACACGCCCACGGTGTTTCAAATCCTTTTATAAAAATTCTAACATCCTGTCTATTTGTACCAATTGATTAAACGGACACCAAATGGCATACGTAAAATACCACGAACATCGGGTCATGTATTAAGGAATAAGGCCCAGTTCAAACGTCGCATTTTACATGCGTCGAATCAAATGCGAGAATTATGTGCATGTAAAATGCGACGTTTGAATCAATTAAATTCGACGGATTTTAATTTAATGCGACTTAGATTTCTAGAAAAATTATCAATGGTAATGTTCTGAAATTTGCCAAGTAAATCTTTGAGTCTGGAATTCATAAGTATTTTGTTTTTGTATCACGTGATCATTTTCTGAAACATTTGCGGGATTGTAGGGTTGTACGCACGTGACCCACACTGACTACATAGAAATGTAGAAAAAATTGAACATCATAGACAATTTTCTTTCATCCAGTATAATAATAATAAATTAAAATTGCGAATATTTTTTTCAAAAGCGAAAAAAAACAGACAAATAAACAACGCGGGGTTTGCTCTAATTGCGGGGTTTCCTCGGAGTCAAAATAATTTTAGTTAACAATGTCGATAACTTTGCTAAAATGTACTGCAGTATATTATTGATATCAAAAAATTAGTTCAAAATGATCGGAAAAACGATCCAGCATGAAAAACGTCGAAATGAATGAAACTTGTTTCATACTGTCATTTGACGAAGCGTTCTTGAAATGGATGGTTACGATCGTAAGAATAGCAAAATATTTTATTACCTAGTGTAAAATAAAATAGATAAGTCATATCTACCTTTTCTTTTAAAGCCAAGTTAACCACGTAAAGAAATATACAAGAAATACACGCTTTTACTTTTCCACTATGGTTCTGTGCAGACACGGCTTTCACTGTTTATATGACACTTCTCTGGAGGGTTTCTTAATAAGACCTAATTCCACCAATAAGATTAAAGATATTAGATCATATTTATCCATTCAGAAGTGAAATTGTTTCTTTTAATACAAAGAATATTCAACCTGCTGCGATAGCAACCCGGTATAATGTGTAAACGGGGCCTAAAACGCCACAAAAATTCCTGAAGATCTCTTAAGTAAGACATATCGTCACACGAAATCTGCATCACACATGGTGGCAAAAGTACATTTTATAATAATAGCAATAATATGGCTTTATGAACGGTTGCTCATTTGCATCAAGGAGATTCACTTGGTTAGAAAAGCAATGTGCTTTCATGTTATCATTGGCGCTTGATTTCAAGTTGTTGTGCATATGGTGGGGTCGAGCAGTAGTTCTCTCTAACACCTCTTACAGAATGTTGTTTATTGGTTTTATTTACATCAGCCTTTTCAAAAAGCAAGTGTTCAAATTTTACAGCTTTCTCAAGAGTTTTAGAATTGCCAGGTGGTACATTCCATTTTTGAGGTAGCTGAGTACACTTAAGTTCGGCATGAACAGCAGAAAGCTTAAGGTTCACAACGTCTAACACTGTGTAAAGTAACGCTGCGACATGTTTGCAGCATCCACCTTGTACTGCTTTACAGTTACAAATATTATACTCCACTTCAGCAGTTCTCTGATTTAAATGAACAAATACAGAGTAGCTCACACTTTTCATAGATGCACCAACACGCGCCTTTACAACAAATACAACCTCCCCATTTGAAGTAGGAACATTAGCTTTTACCATTGTATTCTTTACATATCCTTCTCGCCAGAGACCGTAACCTTTCTTCATATTTCTAAAAGCGTTAGGCGCATAATTATCGGATTTTCCTCTTCTACTTTCAACTAGCTTATGCTCAAGCTTTTCGTGCGTAAAAGATGGAAGATTAGCCAAAGACTTTGTCCAATCTAAGCGACCAAATGTCGCGAGTTCTTCATCTGGATTTGCAACGGTATTAGAATTTACACCATCTTCGCCTTCGTCGACGTTTCTGGGATTTCCTTGCCATAAGCTTCAGATGTAACAAACTCCTGAATACCCGTGCAAGAGTTCTGAAAAGAACTAGGCTTTTCATTCGTTAGAGTTACCTCTGAAGGACGACAAAGAACAGCTGCACAATCACTATCCGCAGTGGCCATGTTGATGTTTACAGTAGAAGCGTGACTACTAAGTCAAGCACCGGATGTAATAATTTACATGCGATGCTATCTATTCTGTGCCGTGACACTTAAAACTGCTTGATGACTGCTTGCCGTAGCAGTGGGTGACACTGATATAGCATCGCATGTAAATTATTACATTTTTTGTCGTTTTTCCTCTGCCATGGTGCCGTCCTTTCGTCTGACTTAAGTCAGAGTTTACTGTCGTTTCTAGTTCAACTGTATCATTATTTGAAGCGGTTAAGCAGTTATTACGCGTTAGATAGTTTGAAAATCTGAAAAATTTATTCATAATTTTTTTGAGCATTGTAAATTTATTCTGAATTATAACCGAAATTTAGCTCAACGGCAAATAAACAAGAAATTTCAAACATTCTGTATGATACACCATGTATAATAATAATAAACTTAAATTATCAGTCAGATGATTTAACGATGGTGGAGCAAAACGTAAAAGTTATAAACAACACTGAAATTAGTGAAACGTATTTAGAGAAGGAGGGGGAGCAGCAGCTATCAGCAGGCACATAAACAAGCTATCGTAACTCTCACACCAACCTCTTTTACTAAAGCCAAGTTAGCCATTATTTATTCGTCGTAATTCGACAATGTAAATTTATCCTGAATATATAACCCAACTAGGCTCGATGGCAAATAAACAAGAAATTTCAAACATTCTGTATGATACATAATGTATAATAACAACAAACTTAAATTATTAGTGAGATGATTTAACGACGGTGGAGAAGAACATGAAAGCTATAAACGACACTGAAATTAGTAAAACGTATTTGGAGACGACGGCTGGGGGACGGCGGTGGGGCAGGCACATAAACATACTATCGTAACTCTTCCACCAACCTTTTTTTTACTGAAGCCAAGATAGCCACGAAGGTAAAAATGTACAAATCAAGTTGAAAGTCTCTTTGCACGTTTTGAAAATTGAGATAGGTCTGAGATAATAAGACTTGCCTCTGTGATATTGGCCACTTCAGTTCATTTGCACGTTGTGTAACGCCTTGTCCCTTGCATTGTCCCGTCTTCGCTGACGCCGGAAGTACAACAGTTTCTCCCAACCAACCAATCAAAATCTCGAGGAATTATCAAGCCAAAGAAAAATCCTAAAAAGGAGTCGAACGGATGTTGCCATCATACTTTCATTAACATCTTGACTTTGGTGAAGAAAACATCTCTCAAAGGAGGCTCAAATATACGAAACGAAATACATATGCGATACCATACATCATTGTTTCATAAAACTAGCCATATTTTCCTTCATGTTATTGTTTTCTTCATTCGCAATGTCGACATAATCATAAAGTTTTTGTCGTTTTGCGAGGTTTTGTACTTTTTAATACAGTTAACGTCATAATACACTTTTTCAACAAACTTCACTGACTGTATAAGTTCTGATAAACGGCAAAGGTGAACGTCGAGATTAAATTAACATGAAATTTAAACTCAGCGCTAGCCAATGGAAAGCGACAGACAAACTATAGCATCGACAGTAATAACCAATTTTGATAAGATATTTTGAATCTTGTATCTATTATGATTCAAGTGACTTTTAACTTAAAACTTTCAAGGAAAATTTTCGCCGTAGGAAATTGTTAGTAATGTGAAATTTAATGATCTCCTTTCTAAATATGCTTTCATTTCGTTGACTTGGCATTTACAATAGTTTCACGATGACAAATGTCCTATTCATCACAAACTACAAATTCAGAGCTGCAATTTAACTCGAACAGGGGACCTTCAAAAACTGCCTCGCGAAATACTGACAATGAAATATCTATTTCGGATCGACAATAGAAAATAATTGATGTCTGTAATGTATAGGGTTTGAATGGAGTTTGAAGTTAAACAAATTGTTGTTCAAGGCAACCGCAGGTCGTGTATGATAAAAATAAAACACAGCAAGTTTTAGAACAAACCACAATCATTTATGCTTCATCTTGTTCTTCATCATTGTCACAATTATCATCATCACTATCAACTTCTGCATTTTGAAGTTCAAGTTTTTCCAGTTCCTTTGCAAAGTCAGCTTCATCCATATCTTTGTGACAACCTTTGGCTGAACAGATAACAATGATAATCAATGATAGAAATTTATAGCTTAAATTTATCATTTGAAATCAACAAATTTCTTGCATGAATGCAAAGGCATGACAAAAGGATTTACAAGTACATTTCAACCCCTAATCTTGATTGGCATGTATGTGACATAATGAGAAGAACTGACAAAATAAACACAAAAGTAGATTGCTAAGCTCTTGGTCAGTAATGATCAAGGTTAAAAATCTGTGGGTAAAGTGAAGGTTTGAATCAACAATCGACTTGTAATGTGCCAATTTATCGCACACTAATCGACAGAGCATACAAACTTAACAATACAAACAATGGCTTTTAACGAGACATAAAAAAACATCACATCCACTTTTTTACGAAACTCTTTCCCACTTCACTTTATTAACAGAACCGTAAAACGATATCTCGACAACAAACATAGCAACAACCTCAACTAGACATCGAAACTCCTGACACGACGATCACAACCAACACAAATGAAAATTCCAAAATAATAACTCTATACTTCAAACTACCATATATCGGACATTACTCACGACACACACAACGCAGACTTACAAACATTATGAAACGCTTCTGTACAGATATTGACATTAGACTAATTTTCACAACATTCAAAATCAAAAACCTTTTCTCATTCAAAGACCCAATCTCTGATTCAATTAAATCTATGGTGGTATATGAATTCAATTGCGCGGGATGTAATTCCCGATACATTGGCGAAACTTCACGCCATTTATCCACCAGAATCAGGGAACATAACACAACAGACAAAAACTCTCATATCTAACGACACCTTCTTAAATCTCACTCATGTAAAACCAACTATTCACCCATTTGCTTCAAAATCATCCACACTGCTGAAACCTCATTCTCCCTTAAAATCAAAGAAACACTCCACATTAACAAAACTAACCCTGACTTCAATGTTTAAGTTTTTAAATTCAATACAATATTTAGTTTATAATATGCTCGGACGCTCCCCATTAATTTATCTTATTTCCTTATTATTGTTGTAATTTATGTATCATATTACTTTTATATAAACCTTGTATCACCTATTATTTCACTCATACTGAAGATGGCATCATGAGATGTCGAAACATGTCTATTTTAAAAAAACGTGTAGTGTATATTAAATGCGCATTAGCAATAGTGCTTCTACGAAATTATGAATACAAAATTTTTTAACTTTGTTTGGCTTTTGAATTTTTACACCCATTACTTCATGTCATTTTCATGTTTCAATTCTCGCCGATAAATATTGTCAATGTTAACAGGGTCGTTATATTTTTGGTTTTAAAGGACAGGAATGGTGTCATTGTAATTTTCAAATAAACAACTAATGATTCAATATGACCGTCTTAATACAGCATGGGGTACTTAGGGAAATGGTAACAGGATGATATGAGGATAGTAGAGGTACCAGGGGGATGTCATTTTAGTGATACAATATACTTTTCATAGAAATATAAACCAAACACTTACAGCTTGTTGTAAAACAAATGTTCCTTTCTTGTTCATAATGACTTCTTCAATGGCTTTGATAGATGTTTCCAAAGCTTTCAAACCTTCTTCTTGATTCATTGTTGTTGTCATGACAACATAGGTTGGTGGTGAAATGGGATTTATCTTAAAGAAGAAAACAGTTTACAATCAAACAATAATATTTTTAAAAGATGTTTTATCAATGTATGTTATTTAGGCCTGGCACAGCTATTGTAAGATATAATTACATTGCTGTGCACATTTGGAACATTTAAAAATAATCAAATCTTTTTTTCGTGAACATCAAAATGTCCATCCTCATTGTGTTTATGTAGCAATATTGCAATTTGATGCATTTCAATGAGAATGATCTGTCATATACAGTGGTGTGAAACAAAGCTTCGTGCTATTCTTGGTTCTTAAGGTTCATTTTCCTTGACAACTCATTTATTGACAGTTGTCTTGTTGTACACATTGTTCAGTAGTATATATAATAATCATTTTACAATTGAAATCTTGACATAAACATATTTAAAAGTTAAAATGACATGATGAATATGAGGTATAGTTCTATTGGTTAAGAACAGTTCATGTACGACGTCAGATGATGTTAATGTTGATTCATAATGGTTTCAAAAAAGCTTGGCTGACTGATAATTATGCTAATAAACACATAACCCTAGCTGTCACATGTTACAATCGTAAACAAAAGCTCAGCAAACTTTTGTCATAAATATAAAGCAGTTTTAAAATTCAAAAGGAGTAAAGATCTTTTTATAAAGTCTAAAGATGCTCAATGATTACAGTACAATAGAACTTACCTAAATGAAGTCATAATATTAAACGTCGCTCGATTTTGAAATAGAAATACAAACAATTCGTTATGTTGATGATGGCACAAAATATGTACAAAGATATAACGTAGATTGTTTAATCAGTTGCATTTTTCAATGCAAAATTTTCAAGAACCTCAAACGGTAATACTCTAAATACAGACGAACAATTCTGTCATTCAGTCTGAGGATGACTTTGAAATAAAGTCGAAAATTTACAGTTCACTTCTCGTCTTGTTTTGATGCATATTTTGCAATCTCAAGATGTCTTGCTTCTTCGGAATTTGTTTTATACAAGTTTACAGTTTGAGTTTACATGACTGACTTTACCGACTCTCGGAAACATCCGGTGGAAACTACCGGTATTCGCCGATTATTATTCGATGTCTGCCGTAAAAATGGTCGTGACGTATTCAGTGACGTATTCAGTTTTCCGGCCTATAGATGCGGGAAATTAGGGATTTCATCTTTTTATGTAAATGAGGGCATAAGAGCGCAACAAGATATGA